ATTGAGATAGTCCAAAGATAATCCGTCCCATTTGTGAAGGCCTTTGTCGTGTCATTTTACTTAAGCTGAGGTCAGCTACGACCTGAGTTGCCTGTCTGCCCTCTTGTCTTTCATTTCTTCGTTGCTGTTACATTACGAGTTTTTGAATGGAATTTTAATACTTACATGGAAAATTGAAATAAGAGCCCCGCACAAGTCTTCCGCAAATCGATTCGCGTGGGTGGGCGGCGAGTCTAAATGCGATGGGTCCCACGACGAAAAGAATCGGATTCTCGGAGATGGTGGCAGAAATGAGAACGACCCTTATGCCGTAAACCTTGTCTGCTCACATCACGTGAGCTACGCCTCTCCCTCTCTCCTCTTTTGCTTGCTACTCGTACTAAGCCCAAAACAAAATGCGATTCCGGACGCTTCCGCAATGCGTCGACCGAGAGCGACCGCGCGTGGGAGCGCGACTTTGCGGAGCCAGGGATGCCGTTTGCGGAGCAGGGGAGTCACGCCCGCGTCGATGATGCCTTCGACGCGGCATCTGTGGGTGGTGCTCTTGGGAATGATAATGCAGGAAATGCAAGCGGAGGAGGAGGGGCGGGTGCAAGCGGAAGCAATGCAAACAACAGCGCGAGTGGAAGCAACAGTAACACGAAAGAGAGCACTGGCATGTTCCCGCCGCCTGCGGGGCCGTGGAGTCGGAAGCATTGAATGCGCCGAGTTCGCCGAGTGGTGAGTTTCTTGGTGTTTTTCTTCTTTTTCTTTTGCAACGCTTGCTTATAATAATAAAATAAATTTAGAGAGTGGTTTTGGGCGCTGCGTTGGAGAAAGAAGGAATGATGACGCTGGTGATTTTTTTTCTCTTGGCTCTCGTGTACACCTCCTTCTTCCCGTCGTCTCTACTCTGACGCTTGCCCTCTTTCGTGCTACCAATTAGCCGCAAACGAAACTAACTCGCCTTTCCCTTCGCCATCCTGCCCTCCGCTCCTTCGCCCAATCTAAATCCCTTCTCTCCCTGCTTCCATTCTCCCAAAAACCTGCTAACGCCCCCACCCCTCTGGTTCGCCTTCACTCCTACCCCACTTACATACCGCTCCTCTCACTATAAAACTTGCTAACGTTGCCCTCCCAGGCTTCTCCGCCGTCTCAGGCTTCTCGCGCGCCTACGGCCATAGCCCCTCTCCGATCCCTCCCCGCGATCCGCACCCTGCCGTCTGCCAGTGCCGGCTGGGCCGGGCGCTACGAGGAACGAATGCGGAGCCGGGATCGCCACGACGAGCGCAGCCGCAGCAACTCAAAACACCACCCGTTACGCCGACGAGCGCGGTGCGGGTACACGTCGGTACACCGGCGAACGCGGGCGATACAGGTACGAGGAGCGGCGGCACACAGACGGCGCGCGGCTTTATGCAGCAAGACGAGTCTGGGTGTCACGTCGCGTCTCTGCGCGCTTGTCCATGCCTCCTTTCATGCCCGCTAAGGCCGTCCACGGACACGGTTCACCGCACGCCTGGTTGGTCCTGGTATAGCCGGTGCTGTGTTTTCTCACCCCGCTTCCCGCGGCTTGCGTACCTGTGCGGTTTCTTTCATCTCGGCGCATGCACGTTTGTCCATTTATTTTATTTTCTCCTCATTTTTGGTTTTGTTTCTTGGGGGTGCTGTAGGTGGTCTACCGGCCTCTCCTGCCGGTAGACGCTGCGCCAGGGCCGGGGTCAGTTGTGGCTTGATTGGCCAGTTCAACATCCTTTAAAAACCCAGTCACGACTCACGAGCGAATAAAACCCCCATTTAGACCTTGCGTTCTTGGTGTTCATCGACTGCGGTGCCCGAAGGTCAAGGGAATCCGTGCAATTCCAGGAGATTCTGAATCTGCCGAGGCGCTAACAAGGCGCTCATTGTCTTTCTTCGATCGAAGAATCAAAACAGATTTAGACATTCTAGCCAAATGCTATCTTCAGTCAAAATGCAACCATATATGCAAGAAGGAATACCTTCTTCTCCTCCCTCAAGTTGTTTTTTCCTCGCTTTCTGATAGCGCGCATAGCGCTGTGGACCAAAAGAGACTTCGACAGTACATCATCTTTAGGATCTACGCTATGCGCGCCTATGGCAGGCTTCTAGCCATATCCGCTGCCTAAAATTTCTCGGAGTTGGCTTCTTGTGGCTAGGATCCAGGGTATGATGCTTCAAGTTCAATCCGCTGACATCGGAGTATGGAAGTCCGAATGAGTCTCAGGTCGTTATCAGGCGCTCATCGATCAGACGGTAGACCTCAAGATGTGCCTTTGCTGCCTAAAATTTCTCAGAGTTGGCTTGTAACCGGTATGGCGCTTCGGCTCAATCCGCTGGCATGGAGTATGGAAGTCCGAATGAGTCTTACCTGGCCGTTATCAGGCGCTCATCGGTCGGATGGTAAACCTCAGGATGTGCCTTCACCTCGAGTTTCTCCGTTGCCCGCGCAAGAATCGCATGTTGAAGGGAAAAATGATAAGATACATGTACATACATCTCTGGTATAAAACCCGGACGCTGTGTCAGGACTAAAGTTGTGATTCACTTGAACGCACACTGGTTGCATTGTCCTCACTGCCCACCAACATGTCCAACCAGTACAGCGTACGTGCTTCGGCCAAGCCATGCTACTGTTTGTTGAGGCATCGGGTCATAGATGCAAGCTACCAGCATGGACCAATACCAGCGACAGGTGATGGCATTGAAGGCGAACCGTGAAGCAGCCGAGAGGGAATACCAACGGCTCTGGAACGCCCCCGACCCGCAAGTAAGACTCGCCTCCACCAGAGAGCTCATTCGCACGATGAATATGTGAGTCGACTCCTCCGTACAGTTTGTACGAATGCGCATATCTCATTCCTCCCCAGTGAGGTGACCTACCGCGAAGGGGGCTGGCCTTCGTGGACTGGTGCGCGGCAGGACGCGGGCCACATTGGCTTCATCGTAACTCTTCGGGGAAAAATTGCGGCACTCGAGTGGGAGGAAGCGAATATAATGCAATCCGCGGGGGTATGCAACGTTCAGGCCCCCATGCGTTACTAGTAGTTGCACATTGCCAGAGCTGTAAATATGGATAAATGTGGAAGTCTGACTCGGAGTTTTGGAGTTGGTCAGCAAATCAAGACATAAAGACTCAGCAACTGGGGCCACCAAGCGTAAGAATACAGTTGCGCGCAAGTTGCCGGCTGGATTCATTGTGCCTGTCAACTTGCCAGTCAAAGTTTCAACTTGTCGCGCTGTCTCGGCAGAACCCGGCTACGTTGATGTCAGCCTCGGCTATCTCCGCAGACGAAGTCGCCTTACTTGTCCGTTTTCCGCGCCCGCAACGTCGACGTCCTCTCGCTAGGCGTATCAATGCTTTTTGACGAAGGCGTGGACAGTGCGCACGAGGCACCCACAACCGCGTCCTTCAAGTCGTCCTTCAATGACCAGGCCATCCGCTCCCTCATCACGGCGAGCAACCAGCACGCCGCCAACTGCTCCTCCATCGGGGCGACCCTCAATGCCGTCCCGCGAGCGAGAAACATCGATGACAACCACCCGGCGTCCCGGCCAATGTTGTTGTTACCATACCACTCCTCTCGATTGTATCAACACCACGACTCGATTTCTCCTTCGTCTCCTAGGCCCCCGACCGATTATCGACGTCGCGCTGTCCGTTCTCTGCCCACCAGCTAGCTACATCTATCTATCCACACCGTCTCGTACCTCTTGTTGGGTCTGCATCTGTATCCATTCAATCCAATCTAATTCAATCCTCCTTTTTCAATCCAATTCAGGATAATATGTTCTATGACTTTTTTATGGATTCATCTTCGACTCCACCATTGCACGGTGGTGCGAGGACTTTCTGGCCACCTATTTGGCTACTGTGTATCGTCGGACTATTATGCTACTTGTCCGCAGAGGTGTAGTAGGAGTTGGGAAGCGCGATGTGTTTGCCATCTGTGTTATAACTTTTTGACAGCCTCAAAAGAGTCGGGAGTTCATGCATGTTCATGAGGCAAACACCGCTCCAAATCGCGCTAGTTGTGGCATCTAGAAGTGCTGAAAATAATCACGAAAACCTAATAAAAAAAGCAGAGCAGTTTGTGGCATGCGGATGCAGGGAGTCGAACCCCGATGGCTGCTTACTCTTCCCAGTAATCATCGTAACAGTAAAGGCAACGGTGCACCATGCACTAGATCCGCTTTCTGCCCTAGTTCGTTCTCTTTGTGAGTGAGAAGAAAATTTTGGATTTAAACTGTAGCACAAAAAACACATGCAGATGTGGGGAGTCAAACCCCGAGAGCTGCTTTATTGTACAAAATGTGAGACAAAGGGCAGCGGTGCACCATGCATCATGCTCGCTTCCTGTCCTGGTTCATTCTTTGTGTTAGTGAGACTAAAAATTGGGTTCGAACCGCAAGTGACCAAAAAGAACCAAAGCTGAAAAGCATGCAGACGCAGGGAGCCGAACCCCGGCAGCTGCTTTACTCTTCTAGGAGGTTGTCGCAATAAAGGCAGCAGTACTCCGTGCACCACATCTGCTTCTTGGACTCGTTCCTGCTCTGCGTGAGCGAGGAAAAAAAATAATTTAGAGCTGCGAGTGACCAAAAATAACCAAAGCTGAAAAGGATGCGGACACGAAGAGTCGAACTCCGAGAGCTGCCTTACTAGTCGTACAATGTATGCAATGCAGCGGTGCACCGTGCATCACGTCTGCTCCCTATCCTTGTTCATTCCCTGCGTGATTGAGACTCAAAAACTGAATTCGATGTAAGAAAGAAAAAACAAAACAAAACAAAAAAGGTCGATATGGAAGCGATGCGGACGCGGGGAGTCGAACCCCGGCAGTTGCTTACTCTTTCGAATGCATCAGAGTAAAGGCAGCGGTGCACCACGCACCACATCCACTTCTTACACTGGTTCCTCCTCTAGGCTCTGTGTGAGTGAGAGCGAGACAAAAAAAAAAAAAATAGAGCTGCGAGTGATAAAAAAGAACCAACGCTGAGGGGAATGCGGACGCGGAGAGTCGAACCCCGGGAGCTGCTTAATCTTTCCGACTCTATAAATAATGAAGGCAGCAGTGCACCGTGCACCACATCCGCTTTCTACCTTCCTCCTGAAATTTTATAAGTGAGGTGAAAAATTCGATGCAAGAAAGGGGGAAAAAATGCTTGGACGTAAGCCAGTGCGGACACAAAGAGTCGAACCCCGATAACTGCCTTCATAGACACCTACGACATACATGGAATGCAGAAGTACACCATACACCATATCTGCTTCATACTGTGTGAGTGAGACTAAAAAAAAAGTTTAGTGCTGCGAGTGACCAAAAAGAAGAGAATATGGCTGAAATATGCGGACGAGGGGAGTCAAATCCCGAGAGCTACATCTGGTTCCTACCCCAGTTCAACTCCTAATACTAATATGAGAGGTCAAAGAATAGATTCAAACCGTGAGTGACCAAAAAAATTACAAATGAAGAAGAAACCCAAGGAGTCGAACCCTGACAGCTGCCTCACCAATTTATCTGGGATTTGTACATGCAATACAGCGGTGCACCGTGCACCATGTCCGCTTTCTTCCCTTGTTCAATTCTGATGTGAGCAAGAAAGAAAATGGATGGGAAATGTAAAACCTCACAAAAATCGCTGAAGACTCGGCCCATGCAGACACGGGGAGTCGAACCCTGAGAGCTGCTTCACGAACTTTTGTATGTGTTGTAATGCAATACAGTGGTGCACCATGCACTACATCCACTTTCCATCCCTCCTCCTGAAAATCTATAAGTGAGGTGAAAACGGATTCAAACTGCAAGCCACCAAAAAGAATGACAGAAAACTAACATATGCAGATGCAGGGAGTCGAGCTCCGGCAGCTGCTTCGCTGACGAAAAGATCATATAATAGAGAGCAGTCATACGCCGTGCACCAGATCCGCTTTCTACCCTAGTTCGTTCTCTTTGTGAGTGAGAAGAAAGTTTTGGATTTAAACTGTGTGTGTGTGAGAGAGAGAGAGAGAAAAGGGACAAGAGAAGAACGTGGTGGGGAGTTGAACTCCGATAACTGCTTCAAATTTCCGGGACTGTTCATTGCCAACCCACAAAGGGCAGACGTGCACTGTGCACCACGTCTGCTCTCCCTCTGCCCGTTCATTCCTCTTCTCTGAGTGAGACAAAAAAAAATCAGATTCAAACCAAGGAACAAAAGAAAAAAATGTGAACAGAAAGCCAAAAATGAAAAATAAAATAAAGAAACAAAAAGAACGGGGTTTACACCTCATGCGGACATGGCGGTCGAACCCCGAGAGCTGCTTTACGATGGAAAGATCGTTGCATGAAGGGCAGCGGTACCACATCCACTTCTCCCAATAAGTGAGAGTGAGGATCCAAACATTTGAGAAAAAATTAACAAAGACAAAGGTCAATGCGGACGTGGGGAGTCGAACCCCGATGGCTGCATCACTATGTTTCCGTTGTTGCATGGAGGGCAGTGGTGCACCGTGCACCATGTCCACTTTCTAGCCCAGTTCCTTCGCTGTATGAGAGAGACAAAAAAAAATGGATTAGCGCAAATGCCCCAAAAGAATGACAGAAAACTAACATATGCGGACGTGGGGAGTCGAACCCCGGAGCTGCTTCAACTTACGTCATGTAATGTAGGCTCGAATCCAGTGGTAACTATTTTGCATTGCTAATTCAAACTCAGATCGACCTGTCTATCGACAGGCTTGCCTCATAGACAGACCAGTCACTGGTCTACATGTAATGCAGCGGTGCACTGTGCACCAGGTCCCATTCTTTGCCCTGCTCTTATCGAATTGTTTTTGGACTCCATTTGCCGACGTCTTACCGGGCAAAATCTGCCACCGGAGCTGGTAGACAATATTTTACGATCCACACATTGGGGTTTCTCAAGGGAAGAGGCCGAGCACCATCGTCGGAGCCTGATGAAGGACCGCGTGATAGCTACTGAAGCAGGTTCAAGTGGAAGCGGCTTTTCCCTCTGCGAGCACTGATGTCGTCAGAAAGTCGCTCCCGAAAAAAAGATCCCTGGGTTGTCTTGAGCGTGTTGTCTTCCTCTTCTGCAGCCCGATCGGTAACCCTAGACTACTTAGTACAATTTGTTCGTTGTGTCGTGGAATATAATATGGTATTACAAGCGCTGGGAAATTTAATACCTCAAGGAGTCATGCAAAGAACTTAGCGGCCGTAAACGAGGTTACTATAATGGGTCCTGACTCCTGAGGAAGTATTTGAAATGGAAATATAGAAACTTGCTATCTCGTTCTCGTGAGGTGCCCTCCAAGAGGCTCGGGCCAAGCATATATGTACATTTTGGGTTAATACTTTAGGGCTTTGTCGCGGTTCAGTTATTACGGAGGGAGTTTTTTTTTTCAAGCACCTTGACGTAACATCACGTTGGATTCTGAACTGCCATCACATCATTTGATTGACAACGTGAAAGTTCTTTTCGCCTTCCTTCGTTCGTCGAGCCGGGCAGCGGCACCGCTTGGAATCTCGTGCGATGCCGCCGCAGCACTAAGTATAGGTCCACCGATGTTGCTGCTGAGATTGGTTGTGTCCGTGGAAGTACATACTGGTACTACTGGATCGTTCAAGGCAACGGGTCCAGGAGCAATTCCGCACTCGTGCGATTCTCAAATATTGAAGCTCAGACCGGCACTACTGTGGACGTATACATGCGCGCCTATCTGTTGACCTGGCTTCTGGAAGCCCGAAGGTGTGAATTTCTCCACAGCTTTGCTGCGCGCCGTGAATTTTCCAAGTTTCTTCTCTCCCACTCTCTTTCACCCCCACAAAACCAAGGCCATGGAGCTTCCTGTAAATATTATGACTACACCAGCGATGGTGGCTCAAAGGTATATCATCGACGACATCTAGCGAACCTGCTGGTTAATGCTCATTTGTGGCAGCCCGCAATTGTTTCAAAATGCGGCTGGATTCGAAATCGTCGGTGGGCAATTCGTTCTTGGAGATGTACATAACCACACAAATGTGAGTAGCTTGGTTCGTACCCGTTATGTTCTTTTACCAAGGTATATTTATTGCAGAGAGGTCCAGTACTACCCAGTTTACAACCCTTTTTGAGCACCTGGGATGAAAATTTGTCGGCAAGCGAAATCTACTGCCACCAGCTGCTCGGTCAGAAACGCGGATATCCTCTTTATGTACCAGAGCCGCAACAAAATCTCCCTGTGGCGTACCGAAGACGTGGTGTCGCGATCGGTGATGTGGGGAGGGTCACACCAGATGGAATATTCGATTTTTTCTTCAACATCTTCCTTCCTCCGGACCATCCTATCAATGCGAATCACACACCGCAAGACTTTTCCCCGATGCCATCCTATGACTCAGTCGACATCCTGCACGAAAAGTACTGTCCTGGGGACTACGTCTCAAGCTCCACTGTTCAGAATATAGATCTTGATACTCCATCAGAGTAAGTAATGCATAGTCGAGTGCATGCGATAAGACTCAGTCCGTTATATCTAGCCAATTCCCTGGAGGCGATTTTGTTTTCAGCTGCGATAATCCTCAAGGGGCCGTTCTCGCGCTGCCGGACGGGGCGTACCTTCAAAAGCTCGAGAACCTCGAGAACATGCGGACATATGCTGCGAAACACGCTGATAGCTGGTACACATATATAAACGGCGCAAGGGGTCGTGGCCTTGAAAACGGGGATCTTTATCTCGTCACTGGCTGTGAAAAAGCTCGGTCGTGGGGGATCGCGTCATACCGCACTTCCCGCGAAGAGTTCGAGCTTCGCTTTAAGCCCACCGCCAATGCCGGCACTGTTTACGAACCATACCGCTGGAGCGGCACCCGTGGCCGGAGAAATCCTGCCAAGAGAAAAAGCTATGATCCCCCACCGACAGATGACCCCCTTTAAATCAGACCACATTCATACACGGGTGGTCCATTTCTCTGCCAACAGGACTTTGGGGCAAGCTGTTTGGGATTGTAGAAACTTCATCCATTGTAGATTTTCAATCTCGATCGAATACAAAAGGTGGTCCTCACCCGGTGAGTTCGCAAAGATTTTCGTGCTGGTGGTCCTGGAGTCCATTTGGGGGTGGCGGCGCAACTGGAGGAAACCATCATGCCGCACAAAACGGTGGCGTCGTTTTATCTGATTTATCTCCAACTGCCAAGGTGCCACGTTTTTAAAATCTTCCAAGATTATCTACCAACCTTTTCCATGGCCAGGTCTTGAATCCTGCAAAACTAATCAACCAATATATACTACACACTCAGGTCTCGCACGCGACCGTTGTTATGACCCACGACGATGATTGGCGCGATATCTTAGGAGATGTACGTTTCCCCAACTTTGCTTATTTTCTACTGATGCAACCTGCAGGATTCCGAAATGCTTAACTCAGCAGAATTGTTCCAACGAATCATTGACGAATTTACTATCACGGAGAAACATGGTTAGCACTGAAGCCTCTTTCACTCAGTGGTCTTACTCGCACAATCAGGTGCCACTTTTCTTGTATCCAAGTTAGTAAATTCACTTGCGGATAACGTTCCGGCCTTTGTCGCCCCAGAAACCCCAGATACGTTTACGGCTGGAGCATCGTCGGAGATCAATTTCTCGGATAGTTTCCACGAGGAATTCGGTCACTCAAGGAGCCCACCGGGGGCCCATTTGTCGAATTTTTACCACAAAGACTTCGAGGGCCCGCAGAGTCTCGATGGTTATGATCAAGGGTTCAACGAGTCGGCCACATCAGAGTCTATGGCCCTCTCTTCTTCCCCCATATCCACTCCTTTTCCCCGCCCACAGTCTGTATCGTTCCGTGGGTTCGGCGAGCAATCTGCCCAGGATTCACCCTTTTTGCCACCAGCCCTTGTTGCTTCTATTTCCTTGCCGTGGTCGCCTACCACATTATTTTCCCATGAGTATCCCTCCCACGCGATTCCGAGACCAGTACCGCGCCGTCTGGGAACGCCTGCATCTGATATGGCTTTCCCCTCGATGGACTTGGACTGGTCGCAACGGAGAGCGGAGTGGCAGCCCCCTGCACAACAGCCTACCTGTACAAACCTTCGCATCGGGTCCGTGGAGGATGCGCACAAAATCTTCTTTGCCATTCGCAGGTCGGGTCGTTTCAGCCTCTGCCGGGGATGAATTCTGAAGCCTTTTTCGCAGGGGCTTATTGACTATGGTCTCACGAAGACTGAATTCGGATGAGCGAGCAGCCCTGCACACTGGCTGTGTATTCGCTTGGGAGGAACGAAGCCCAAGTACCGAGATTACCGATGTTGGCATTGAGCGTTGGACCGATTCGAGACGCTGGGGCCCATCACGAGTGCGAGATGTGTGTACATTGCATTACTCGGCATCTCTGTCTAGCCCGTTGAATTCTCCCACAGGAATTTTTGTTCTACTTTGAAAAAGACTCCGATGCGCTGTCTTAGTGAGCATTCAGTGTAGCAGTCTTGACGATTTCTTACACACATGGCAGTGACCTCCAGCCTGTCGGAGGGGAGCAGCTTATTAAACAAACTTATTGCGCGTGGGTGGAAACGGAAAAGGGAAGGAGAAAATGGCATTTAAGTACATCCAAAAAACTCTCATTCACATTCGTGCGCTGACTTGCCTACAGTCTCATATTTCACGGAAGCAACCGTAGGAGAGTTGGGTACAGTGGATGACATACCAGATGTTCGCCAACTCGAGGTACCGGCCGGAATGTTCACGAGTGCGCGCATGAGCAAAAGAAAGAACACCGACACCAAAGTAACCGACACCAAAGTAACCGCCCAGGCCTTCCCTTCGCCTTCGCCTTCGCCATTGCCTGCCCTGGCCCCTCGTCCAGTAAAATGTCGGCCATCAACCTCCCATTCCGAACCGCTCTGGTTAGCATGTTGACCGTAACACCCCGCTCATCGCGCTATGCTATCGCGCATATCAATTACCATTTTGCAACTGAAATCTAGCGTTGTGATATTTAACAGACTCCTGTATGTCGTCGAGATTATCTTAACTATATGTTTCCGAGTGTTCTTACAGTTCTTTTCCTAACTACACTCACTTCATTCCTTGTATTTTTCCCGACCGAAAGTTTGACTCGCACAACGAGACGCGGCACATCGGAGGTCATCTGCTCTCCGACATCCACGAACACTCTCGCACTTACGTTGGCACTATCCTACAGGTTGATCCACATGCATGTCTCCTTCTATCTGTAAATCAAAACGTCCACCGCGCAAGTTCGGGCGTCAGCCAACAAGTACCCATCGAGAGATGCCGAGGGATTGGATTTTGATTTGGTGAAGCGTCTATTTGGGAGACTAATTTTCTCACGGTTTGAATGCCTGAAATAGGCTGAAAATACACCATTATTCCGTGCATGTCTCGACGTCCATATCACTGGTTAAAGCGTAGGGCATTACGCATCGAGTGATGTCGAGACATCGGATTTTGAACGATGGAGAGTACATCACAGAGAGCAGCGGTGCACCATGCACCATGCACCACGTCTGCTTTCCCTCATGTTCCTGGAATTCTGTAAGTGAGGTGGAGAAATGGGACTAGAACTGCGAGCGAGAGAGAGTAAAAAATGGGATGTCCAAGAGGCATGCGGAGGCAGGGAGTCGAACCCCGTGATGAGCGGGCAGTTTGTCCAGTGGTGAAATCAGCCAAAACGGGCTGATTTTGCGATTTTCTGAATATTTGCGAGAGTAGGTTGAAACACCGAGGAGTTCACGGACACGTGGTTGACGGGAACAGCGTGCACTGCTGTGTGGCGCGTTGGGATGAGACGTGTCGCAAGGGAACTGGGACGTGTAGGAAGGCAACTGAAACATGTTTCGTCTGGACAATGGTTTCCAAGTGAACCGTAGCTGTTTGTAGTTTGCTGTGCAGTCAAAACAAACCGTAGGTATAAAAGCGCGATGTAACTTGGTAGATGAACGGAATGAAACCCCCACTTTTGACCCCCTCTCTTTAATTTTCCGTTCCTTTTCTTAGACTGGTGCTGCTGTTGACCAGAACCCTCGCCATTTATGGATCGACTGTTTGCATTTGATGCAGGCAGACCCGGCGTAGGAACGATCTGAATCACACTTTTGAGATTCTTCTTGTGTTTTGGGTTTTGGGTTTATTGGATTATGTTGGACGGTATGGATTGGGTTTTGGCTGGATTTGGATTTGAGTTTGGGATTTGGATTTGGTTGGACGTGTTGGTGGAGTGGATTAGGAGGAGATACTGGAAGGAGAGCCGATGGCGATGGATTTGGAACAAGTATGACACACTTGGCGGCGCGCTGGTCGTGCCGCCGTATCATCATTTATCATTTTCCCGTGCCCTTATCGCGTCAATCGCCTGGATTGCAACATGCATATATTTTGTATGGAGCCCCGAACCCGCGCGCATCGGATTGATTGTATTTGGTGTTTTTGGATGGATTTCCATTTTCATCTGTACATTTGATTCACGCGCTTCACCCGATTGCTGCTTACAGCTGTTTCCGAAAACCTTGAGACAAACTTTTTATTTTGCCAGCGCCGAAAATTTTGATGGCTGCTAAGGATTGCCCGTTTAGGTGTTGCCGAGCCTAACCGAGGACAGCCGAAGCGCCAGAATTTATCACTCCGCTCAGTTTTGCCTAGCCGCCCTTTGCGTCACCCGATGCACCTTCCCTCAGCTCTTTTGCAACTGGACTTTCCGGGCAGAGCACATTGAGATTGCATTCTGTGTGGACGCCGCAGAATTTTTGGCCCCTGGCAGATGTCTAAATATAGCTGATCCGATGCCAGATCTGGTAATCCTTAGCAGCCATCAAAATTTTCGGTGCTGGCAAAATAAAAAGTTTGTCTCAAGGTTTTTGGAAACAGCTGTAAGTTTGTGGTGGTCTGCCTATACAGGGCAGCGGTGCACCATGCACCACATCTGCTTCTTACACTAGTTCACTTCTCCCAATGAGTGAGAGTGAGACTAAAAAAATGCTTAGAACTGTGAAAAAGGATGCAGCCAAAAAATGCGGACAAAGGGAGTCGAACCTCGAGCCCTTGTCTTAGTGTGAGTGAGAGAAAAAAAGGTTAAATCTGCTAATGACCAAAAAGGATCTGCTCTCGCAAGAATACGGACGTGGGGAGTCGAACTCCGATAACTGCCTCCCCGGACGGAATAATGTGCATGCAATGCAGCAGTGCGCCTTGCACCACGTTTGCTTCCTTCCCTTGTTCACTTCTACTTACCGGTGAGAGGTGAAATGAATTTGAACTGTAGCACAAAAACCTAGTCGAGGAATACGCATGTGGGGAGTCGAACCTCGGGAGCTGCTTCACTGATTCATCGGAACTCCAACAAAGGCAGCAGTGCACCGTGCACCACATCCGCTTTCCAGGCCCATTCCTACTCTGTATGAGTGAGACTAAAAATGGATTTGAAATGTGAAATGTGAAATGTGAGTGACCAAAAAGTATACATGACCTAAAGAATGCGGACGTGGGGAGTCGAACCCCGGAGCTGCTTAAGCTAGATGGACCTCGTAATAGAGAGCAGCGGTGCATCATACACCACATCCGCCTTCCAGGCTCCATTCCTACTCTGTGTGAGTGAGACTAAAAAATGGATTTGAGTGACCAAAAAGCATGGATAGCCTGAAGAATGCGGAGGTGGGGAGTCGAACCCCGGCAACTGCTTTATTCTTCTAGAAAGTTGTCGCAATAAAGGCAGCAGTACTCCGTGCACATCCGCTTCTTGGACTTGTTCCTGCTTTGCGTGAGTGAGGGGGGGAAAAAATTAGAGCTACGAGTGACCAAAAATAATTAAAGCTGAAGCGGATGCGGACGCGGGGAGTCGAACCCCAGTGGCTGCTGTACAATGTCTGGGCCATATAATAGAGAGCAGCGGTGCACCGTGCACCACATCCGCTTTCCATCCTTCCTCCTGTAATTCTATAAGTGGGACAGAAAACAATGTAGAAAGACAAAAAAAACAACATCTGAAGGCCCATGCAGACGCGGGGAGTTGAACTCCAACAGCTGCTTCATATGTTGCAACAGATGTCATCGTATCAAAGGCGGCGGTGCACCGTGCACTACGTCCGCTTCCTGACCTTTGTTCCTTTTCTGGGTTAGTGGGAAAAAAATAGAGCTGCGAGTGACCAAAAATAACGAAGGCCGAAAGGATGCGGACGCGGGGAGTCCAACCCCAGTGGCTGCTGTACAGTTTCTGGGCCCTGTAATAGAGAGCAGCGGTGCACCGTACACCACATCCGCTTTCCATCCCTCCCTCTGAATTTGATCAGTGAGAGCGACAAAATGAATTCAATGTAAGAAAGAAAAACAAATAAAACCTTTTGACATGTGAACGTGGACAATATGAATGCTTTGGGTCAACCGAGTGCAGCAGTGCACCACATCGACTTCCTTCCCCCCTGAAAAATTTCAAGTGAGACAGAAAACAATGGAGAAAGACCAAAAAACAGCTGGAAGAAAGCCCATGCAGACACGGGGAGTCGAACCCCGGCAGCTGCTTCATATGTTGCAATAGCCGTCATCAATATCAAAGGCGGCGATGCACCGTGCACTACGTCCACTTCCTACCTTGGTTCATTCCCTGTCTTAGTATGAGCGAGAGAAAAAATGGACTCAAACTGTGAGCAACCAAAAAGAACAGATGTTGCACACTCATGCGGACGCAGGGAGTCGAACCCGGGAGCTGCTTACACTTTGCACCTTACTATCCGAATTAAAGGTAGCGGTGCACCGTGCACCACGTCCGCTTTCTACCCTCTCCTGAAACTCTATAAGTGAGACAGAAAAAAATGGAGAAAGACAAAAAAAAAACGTCTGAAGAAAACCGATGTACGCGGACGCAGGGAGTCGAACCCCGGCAGCTGCTTTATTCTTCAATTCTCCCAATAATGAAGGCAGCTGTGCACCGTGCACCACATCCGCTTCTTACACTTTGACGGATAATAGGATAGGTAGGTCTTTTTTCTTTGAGTTTTGCAGAGTGGGCGTCGATAAAACACGGAAAACACGGGAATTGGAACAAGCCTGAGAGCCCCGCATTTCTTCCGCACGCGTGGGTGAGCGGGAGTCTAAATGCAATGGGATCCCACGACGCGGGGTCAGTCGGGAAGAATCGAGATGGTGGTGGCAGAACAAGAACCAGAAGACCCGTCCCTTATGCCGTAAACTATACTTTATGTTTGTCGTCTGCCTCTAGCCTTATCCTCCACTCTCACTTGCTCCTCGTACTCGTACTAAGCCCTACGACAAGACCCAAAATGCGGTTCCGGACGCTCGAAATCCGGTGGCACGACTCCAAGCCGATCTCGTCGTGCGACTTCCAGCCCGTGCCCTTCAAAAAGGCGCGCCCGCCCCCGGGGAGCGCGCCCAGCGCCTTTGCGGCGCAGGCGTATAGGCTCGCGACGGCGGGTGAGGACAACCATGTGCGCGTGTGGATGGTGTATCCGAATATCCGGCCGCTCGACCTTGAGGGAACGGGGGAGGTGGCACCGAGGCCGGCACGCGTAGAGTATCTGGCGACGCTGAGCCGGCACTCTGCAGCGGTGAATGTGGTGCGGTTCTCGCCGAATGGTGCGCGTCGAGTCTCTTCCTTCTTTCGATAGAATGAAGTAGTGACGCCGCCGTGTAGGCGACCTCATCGCGTCCGCGGGCGACGACGGGATGGTCATCATCTGGGCGCCGTCCGCCACACCGCAGACCAGGTTCGTCTCCCTCTTTCTCTTTCACAAATAGACTTCATGTAAATAACACCTTCGCCACAGCCCGTATGGCTGGGACCTCTCCCCGGACGACCTGCAGCACGAGAAGTGCTGGAAGCCGCGCACCACGTTTAGATACGACGATATAGGTGTACGACGACCGTGATTCTCGCCGTCGCAATGACCATCTCCGCGGCCCTAGTTACTCCCCGCGACTTTATCGTGCGTTCATGACAAAATTCAACTGCAATTGATCTTTAATTTCTTTTTTTGTAGAAGAGCATACCGCAGGGATCGATCCCCGAGTTACTGCCTGGAGCTGTGGGCCGTAACATTGAGGTACATTTACTATGTTCTGGCCCAGTCGACACGCTGCTCACCTCGTCTTTCTAGGGTCCAATAATAAGTGCGATCGGGTCCCTTTTCGCCACTTTTCTCTTTCAGCCAGCCCCGACACGCTCGCCCCAGGGGCCGTAATCCTTTCGTATGTTCACTATGTTCTACGTCAGTCAATACGCTGCTCATACCGTTTTTCCGGCAGCGCTCAATAATAAGTGCGATCGAGTCCCACTTGGCCACCGCCACTTTTCATCCAGCCGTCCCGACGCCAACGTTCGACCTCGGGAGCATTCCAATCGGACATCTCCCGAATTGCCTCCTAATGGCGTTCCCCTCGATCCATTGGTTCCCGTAAGTCACAGCCGTTCCCAACCTTCCCGAAATTAAGATTGACATGTATTGCATTGTTCCGCATTGTTCTTAGGCCCCAACTCCTTCGGAGGCTCCGGCTCAGACAGAACCTGCGGCCCTCCCCATACCAGACGCCCCGTGCCCCTCCAGAAAAGCCCCGCACTGATAAAGCAGTACTAATCTCCATACTTATACCCGCCCGGTTTCCTTCGCTGGCAGACGAAAGAGGAGTCTGAATGGTCCTTGGCAGATGTGAGGCCAAGTCGACTTAACGAGTCACGACTCGACTTCGCGAGTCGCGGCAATATTAGTGGCTGAACTATTTGCAGTCACTGAGCTCAAGGTCGCGCCGTCCTGCTGCCTCGTTCCGGAGCTTTCTGTCAAGGAGGATGATGCGCTCATGGACATGCTCGGCAGAACTGGTGAAGAGGTTGCTAGGAAGGCCACAAACGTGCACAATTGCGTGGTGGCACACGTCAAAGTTCTCGGGCGACCCAAGTGACACCATCTAATTAAGAGTCATCAAATAGATTTTAGATTGGGAGGGGAGAATACAACGCACCCGGACGATGTCCCCGAAGACATGGTAATCGACAGGAGTAGGTTCCTGCGAGTAAACTTCAACAGGTACGTGCGGGCTAGACGTGCAGACAATCAGAAAAACATAAGGAGGCGAGCAGTATTTTGAATACGCATATGGATATCCACACCATAGGCGCCTAGGTGTGACCGTTCAAAAGCGCCCGTGTCGCTAACGCTTACTGAGTAATCGCGATTAAAAATTGGTTTCAGGCCCTGGTTCCGACTGATTTTTATTGACATTCCAAAAGCCATGTACCTCTACAGCACCAGGAAGATATCATGTAGGTATCGATGTATTTTTGAAAATTCCAGTTCTCCCTCTTCTACGGCCCTGTGCTTGTTCGTACAGCCTTCCTCCATGGGCACTGGATCCTGCAGACAGGAGCTGTCCCTTCAACGTCAGCTGCTCGAAAATGTTTGTCAAGTGTAGGCCACAAAACAGCTCTCCACTCGTTGTTGTTAGCATCCCAGCCCCGCGCCAGATATTCATGTGGCGGGATACAAGTGACGACGGGACTGGCTGAGGATCGTTGAACGAGTTTCGTGATAGACGCTGGGACCCAGGCTCGCTGTTTATTTGAACCGGAAGCACCTTGATTTTGCACTTGCACGATCGAAAGAGATATGGTTCCCGGTTTGTGTTCCTCCATTTTGGCTGTGGCTGAATGTGGATATTAGTCGGTCGGGTGTAATCCTGTTGGTGCGGCGGCACGACTTTGGAAGGACTTACTTTGTGGGGTGTTCAAAGATCCTGTACCCAGCTCGATCTCTTCCTGTTCGTATATGGAAAGCTCTTCTTCCGTCCTAATGTTGTCGAGGTGATTCTGGAAGTGGAATAATTTAGCGTCATGCTCGAGAAACAGATTGGACTGACACTCATCAGCACCATGATTCCACGTATTCGCGCCTTCGACGTTGGATCCGAAACCCAAATTAACACCTGATTGCGATTTATGAACGATATTTGCGGAAGCGGTTTTTTTGAACCCTTGAGTGGTTGGTAAATGGTCAGTTAGGGAAACTCAAATCTTGGCCACCACTTGCCGCTGGCCGAAGATTGATCCCCATGCCTATTTTCACTTCTAAGGGGTGGAACTCGCGCCGTTCAGTATCCAATCGTATGTCCTGCACCTGGTAAACAATATTATATGAAAAATACGATTTGTTGTCTTTGTCCCATTCGTCTCCAGTTTCGTAATCCACACGGCACCTGGGCATAACCTTGACCAGATTGATTTAGCAACAGAAAAAACAGTAGCTGCCTTACTTTGCTGTCGGTGGCCTCCATCGTGACATCGTTGTTCAGATTGTATGAAATTTTCGCAGTCGCCAAGGGAACGCCCTGGGAGATTCCCAGATTAGTTTCAATTCCCCGTTGATTTTGCCGATGTTGCCCGTGTTTGTAAACTTTGTCTGGAAGGTCAAACCCTCGATGCAAACTGGGTCGGTGTTAATATACGTCCAGATTCCGCCAAGAAATAATTACAATTCGTGGTCAATAATCGATTCCCTTCGATGCGACACAAAGCCGATGTTTGCGTAGGAGCGATCGACTTGAGTTTCACGCAGCCGGGTTCCAATTTTGAGATCAACTAGAGCAATGACTTCAGACTGAGATAAAGGACGGGTCAGGTTATTGGGATCAATGGGTATTTCCGCTTCTCGATTGATTATGAACTAAGGGAAATTATTAGATGATAATAGAATCTCAAATGCATCCTACTTTGAAATTGTAACCAATTGTCACCGTGTATGTATGAGCCGTGTTGAGTTTGAGGTGAAGTTTGACACGCATTCTGTGTAGCGGACTTTCCCATTTACCATTCACCGTAGTTGCTCCTCCACCACCATCATCCCCGCCTCCACCCCCGCTCCTATTGATTCCTGGGGCACCTTTATAACTGCAGTTTGGTTTGTGTTCCTCTGCCGTGTTCAAACCATGTCCATTGGATTCCGCATCATCGTGGTCGTCATCCCGTCTACCGCCGTTTCCGGACTCTCCTGGAGGGTGTTCACCTTCGTCGGTCATGGCTTCATCTATGTCCACATCATGTCTTCTTTGGTCGTTGTTACCAACGGCTCCACCAAAGTCAACGGACACGTTAGGATCAGGATCATGAGCTCTGGGTAAATGGCTCAACATCGAACAAGGAACAAGAAATTTTACGCACAGTGTTAATGCAGGATTATCGTCGGAAGGTCGAATTACCACCGGAAAGCCTGATAAATTTGCGAGCGATTGCACCATATTGACGACTATTGGTTCATTGTGACATCCGAAAATCACCAAGGCAGGCTTTGTTGGTGAAAGCATCCAGGCAAAAGGCCCACCGCAACCATTGTTTCGGATCAAAGTGAGAAGAGGGTTGTCCCAATTGTCCTCCATCCACGATGCGGCTTCTGCAGGTTCGTGGATGGACATCAAACAACCCCCAATGCTGAGATTGGCCTGAATGCAAGTCAAGTCTTTGGGGGTAAAAGAATTGACTGGTGTTCTGAGGGGGCGGATTTATATCGGGAAGAGTTGCAGATCTATGAATATACATACTCTGGTCTGTCATCATAAGGCGAATATATGAAGAAGGTTCCAGTTTTCACATCTCCTGCGGCGCCGTTCCTATTCAACATACCCACTCCTGCTCAGAAATTGAAGTTGAGCGACCCGGTAATTCTGTCGCGGATAGTGGAGAGCTGCGTACCTGTATCCTCCGAGTTTAAGCCAGAGCGACTACTATCCTCATGCTGCAGATCTTTCACGTTGGTACTAGTAACGGCGGGGTTTGATCGGCTATGATCGCTCACGCCGCTACCAAAACCAAGGTCCATCCACTGCGTCGTCCGATTTCGGTAGTCGTTCTCTTCCCGTTTCTTGAGCAGTCGCCGCCGCTTATTTTCGCCCTCGTCGTCATAGCCCTCGGTTTCAACCTTCTCGCGCAGATACTCAATGTGTCGTTCTTGGCGGTTACCCACCGAATCCGGCGGGACTTGGTATATAGGTAATTTAATGCCGAGTTGCACATAACGTTCGAAATTGATTAGTTCATTGACGGTTGACGGATATTTCGACAGGTGGGAATTGACAGCATCGAGTTCGGCAACTACGCGACACATAAGTAAGGCAGGAGAGAAAAAAAAAGGAAGTGAACTTGCTGCACCACGGAATGTAATTCGCTGCGCGTAGCTTCTTAGTCCTCTTGTGGTAGGCCTTATAATTCTGATCGGGGTCAATTATTCTCGTGAGGTCCTCGAGCATGGCACGCTTATCGCGTGATAACTGCTCCAATGTCCGCACCAAGTCATGCATAGGGTTGACTGTCGGATCGAGAGCACGAGCAATAGCGGCAAGAGAATTGTAGTTTTGTCGTCGGAGACACTCCTGCGGAAATATCAGTTGTAAACTGGAATCGTAGCAAATTCCTCACCTGCCCTGCCTTGATGAATCTCTTCATAGACTCGGCCCGGTCCCTAATTTCGTCGTGTCTCAAAACTACATATTTAACCCAGCGAATCATCTTGTGATGGTTTGACAGCCAAGTGTCGACGTGGGACGGTAAACCTCTGGCATACCATAAGTAATCGATCGATCGGAGTGTCTTATGAGAATCATGCTCCATATGAGTGAGGGCAAGCGCCAGCTCCTCCGGGTGTTGCGGCTCCGCCGTCGGGCCTCGGCGCACTGGTAATATGGGTGGACGAGGCTAAAAATACCTCGGTAAGATATTAAAGAGCGCACAGGATGAGACTTACGCGGTTCTTGATCGCGTCGAGAATCATCGTGGTGTGGTCCGGGATAAGGGCGCAGACATCCCCGGACGCAAAGGCTCGTACACGGTCGACAAGCTCTTCGCTGGGGAGAGTAGCATTGAGCCAAGCGACTATCACGTCGACTAGTCTGCTTTAGAGTCAGCTAAGGTATTATGAAACGCAACTAGCGAGGGCTCACTTGGCTCGCTGGGCAACAAAACGCAGGGTTTCCGGCCTCGCTTCTTCAAATCTGTGTTCGATTATATCGAGCATCATTTCCGAGGTAGCGTGATCCAGATATGTCTTGAGCATTACTTGTTTGAAATGTTCATCCTCTGCAGGTCAGGTTATTTGGTTTATTTCAGGCAAGATACGCATACCTGTCATGAGCCAGTGATTTATGAGTCCTAGAGAATTGCCGTAGATCTTGCCATCATTCCTGAAGATTGAGGGTGTATCTGGAGGTTGCGGAGGCACGATACATGGAGCCGGCTGTCTGGTGCGTGTATTTGGAGGTTGTGAAGGCATAATACGCGAAGATGATTGCTCTGCTATAGTCGGTTCTCGAGGAGAGGGTAGCACATCGAAAGAAAGCGAATCCATTGGTGAAAGCTGCGGCAAGGAGGGGGGTTCTCGATGGATGCGGGAAGATTGGGGCCTTGGATTAAGTGTCGGTGAATAAGGAACCGGCTGCTTTGTTACCAGGTCCAGAGCCTCGTCAACAAGCCGAGCATCGAGTGATGGCTCGCCCTGGAAGCGCGACGAGATTTTGCCAAACTGCGATCTGATTTCATTGAGTATTTCATCCCGATCTTGTTCTTGTCTGGCCCTCATCTCCATTACTTGACGCCCAATCGTAACGAGAATTTGCATCTGAAGCGAGGTAAGGGAGCCGGCCCGGGCATGAGATATGGCTGACCATCATCGTCCGAAATTGCTCATCCACTTTCCGATTTTGTTCCAGGGCCCATCCCTGGAGCTCATCTTGCTTAATGACGGCGAGCACAAAATTCAACTTCCTCCGTGATTTGAGCTTGGTGATGATCCCTTGTAAAACCCTGATAATCCTCGTCAGTGCTGCAGCCAAATTTTATGCAACAGTAATACATTTCTGTCTCGTCCAAAAATCTTGTAATTGTCCGGTCGTCCAGCGGCATCGAAGAGGCCTCGAGGTCTTGCAAGCTGCTTAGCCGGGCGATACAGCGGTTATTAAGGTCCTCGAGCTCTTTCTGGCCTCAGATGAGCTGGTTTCAGTATGGTGGAGGTAAACGTAGCGCTTACGTGCCCCTCTGGACCATTGCGGATAATATCTGCTACCTCTTTTGCTGTGCGCCTGTTAGATTCGTCTGCACAGATAACATGGCACACACTCAAGGACAGAACTGCCAGAGCAAGATCGGGGCTCATTGGTGGAGCAGGTTGTGGTTCCCGGCAGAGGTGGTATTTAGAGAGAGGTCAGCCTGAGGAGGAGCACTCGCCCACTCTTGACCTGGTGGGGAAAAGACTGTACCCGGCGTTTTAGAGGGTCACGAGTACAGGACAATTACGACGAGCTGTGATGCTGTTGCCGCCAGGTACCCGTTCGACGAGATCATAATCAAGTAAATATAGGCCTGCCTTGGTACTGTTATGTTCCAAGGTAACTAACCAGAAATTTGGACTTGCTTGAAGAAGGTTCGCTCGCAGACTTAAACTACATGCAGTTTTTCGGATACTTACCATTCTGGTATGAGCAGGACCGAAGCCTCGGGAGGACATTAGGTGTGTGGCTTCAAAAGATGTTATAAATAATTTAATTTAAGATCCACTTGAACAGGGACGTTCGGTCAATTGAGTTCTTTTGACGTCTTACTCGGAACCGGCAGACTAGAAAACTGTCATGTACGACATGCGGCGGTACAGTTTCTGTCTTGTTACTGGACCGAACTACCCTGTATTGATAGCCTAAGCCCCGGTTTTCGATCTCCGAGTCGGGGTATCTGCAAAGGAGCGAGGCTACGGACTCCAAAGCTGTTGCGCAGCCGGCGAAACGTTGATTCTGACATGATATGGGACACATGTATCATACAACTCGGCGGCAGAGCGGAGCGCCAATTTTTCTGGACCTGTGGTGCTAACTGCAGTCTGATCAAATCCCCGAGATCTGGATCCTCTTTCTGTGATTAAGGGCTAATGGCCATTACGCCTCCGTGGATTCCCACTTCCAGGTTAAGATCTTCGTAAATGGCGCCTTTTGTAGATTCCTTCCTTCGTATTTTTCCATGGAAGCTTGCCATGATGGCCCGCCTCTCGAAATTTCTGTAATTTCGAACCTCATGTTCGGACGAGCTTAGAATGCTTCTGCAGACTGAGTTCAACGCTCAAGAGGAGAACCCCTCATATTATAACGTACGCCCACAGCACCCAAATTTGTTGCGACAGTTCTCGACAAGGGTGTCATGCGGCGCGGACTGATAGAAATACAGCAATGGTTGCCAATCGTGGCACGACATGTCTCCATTAACACTAATTTAAGCGCTAAATTGAAGCGCTACCCATCGCATCCTCTCCCATTGACCACGACTTCTTCATGTCAACCGATAGTTTCGACCAAACTGTATGTACCCCGGAGCAGTTGGCAACTGAAGAGTTCTCTGGGACCTGGGTTCTACTGCTACACTCGAAGACAAAATATTGACCTCGCGGTGCGTGCACGAAGTACATTTCTCTGGATTTGCAAGTCAGTTGAGCACCCCGGTGGGCATCATTAAGGCGACAGACCAGAATCAAAACGAACATCGTAATAACAGCTGTAAGAGAGAGAAACCCGGCAAGCGAGACAACCTAACATCATGAATGGTTGGATCCATTCGTCACTGCAGAACCACGGGAATTTACCACCTCTGAGCGTCGGTTAGTCAAAAAACCGATGGATGTGTTCATGGTGCGTGGTCGGACTATTTCACACATTCCGCAACTTACCCAGCAACAGCTGTCATTATTTACGGCCGACCTGTTCCAGTCATTGGGCGTGGTAATGGACGTTCAATGGATCAATAACGAAATTGTTCATGCAGGAAACCTTTGTACCTCAGATCTCAACTTACCAGACTTTTCCCTCTTTCTGTGTTCACAGCGCTGGCATATGACAATTTCGTTGCATTGGGGGTTTTCAACATCCCTGATTACAGATATGTAGGTTGAACTACCATTAATGACATCAAATTGTTGCGCTTCTACGCATATTTGGGGTGCCGGAAAGATTCGCCTCGTTCTCAAGAACCGCTCAATGTTGCTCCCAAAGGTAAATTGTGCCGTGGACCAAATATCACTCCGATCCAGAATAAAATTTGGACCGAGTGATTTGTACCAGATTTGGCTCAAATATTCATGAAACAGTCTGATCGTTGCGCTTCCTAGTTTGAGACTGTACGTCTTATACAATAACTCGTCAGGAACGAATATATCTAAGTGAGGAGAATATAACCAAGTAGAGGGAAATGCAAGGTACAGCACGGCAAAATGGAGGAAGGCAGTGTGAGGGGAAGAGGTAATTGTCTGTTGCCTTGATACACCAGTTGGTGGCGGCGGTGACTGCGAGCGACGGACTCGAATTCCAACAAAATAATGAAATAAACTGGTGCAAGCGGTCAAAAAAAGACCCAACTACGAAAAGGTGGACGTGGGGATTCGAACCCCAGAGCTGCTTCACTGACTCATATCGACTCCAACTATAGAAGGCAGCAGTGCACCATGCACCACATCCACTTTCTACCCTAGTTCGTTCTCTTTGTGAGCGAGAAGAAAAAATTGGATTTAAACTGCGCTTGTGAGAGAGAGAGAGAGAAAAGGGACGAGACAAGAAGAATGCAGACGTGGAGAGTCAAACCCCGAGAGGTGCTTCAAATTGCCAGGACTGTTTATTGTCAACCCACAGAGGGCAGATGTGCACCATGCACCACGTCTGCTCTCCCTCTGCCCTTTCATTCCTCCTCTCTGAGTGAGACAAAAAAAAGATCAGATTCAAACCAAGGAACAAAAGAAAAAAAGTGAACAGAAAGCCAAAAAGAAAAGAAAAAAAGAATGAGGTTTACACATCATGCAGACATGGGGAGTTGAACCCCGATAGCTACTTCATATGTTGTAACAGCCATCATAACAAAGGGCAGCAGTGCACCGTGCATCATGTCCACTTTCTAGCCCAATTTCTTTGCTGTATGAGCGAGACAAAAAATTCCCACTATCTTTGGTAGTTGGGCCCTCTGACATTATTGCGGTAGATCCCGGTGGCAGTGGTGATGGGTGGCGAGTTAGTCTCTCCTAGACAGACGCTACAACACAAGGCAACCTCGTACCTCGGCGTGTTGAAGTCTGTTACTTACCGCGGTGTTCCGATCAGGTCAGAATCTTATTACATAATCAAAAACCATTGAAAAAATGTTCGGCGAGACTGGGAGCTGATTTGTTCATACACAAATTACATAGGACTGGTTGCCCATAGTTGCCATCAAGTTTGCAGCACTTCCTGAATTTTTAAGTGCTCATATGTGGCCGTCAACGATTTTTCTTTCTGGTTGCTGACCAATCAGATCAAAAGTCGCACACCGTTAATATGAGGATTCCGTTTTGATATTTAAAATTTTGAGGACACAGAACTTTAAGGCACACATGTAGCTACTCAACTGAGCTTTAACTGCGTGAAACAACGTGCTTTTGACAAAGATTATTTAGGGCAAGATTTCAAACTCCGACGATTATGTAATAAGATCCTGACCTGAGCGGACCCCCGCAGTAACAATGATTGTAAGAGGCCGGCAAGCGGCGGGTCACAAATAGACGAAGAATTGTTTTTGTAGTACAATTTACTGGAGCTCTGGTAATAAAGTACAGATGAGAGAGGAAGGAATGGACTAAACTTCAAGTTGGACAGCATCTTTTTCAGCCGCTTTAGCCTTCCGCAAGCCTTCTGCAGTGGAATCAATTTTTGCGTCGTTTCGGAGGCATGGCACTGGGTTTGGTGGGTTTAGATTCATGGATTACATTGGATACGAACACAGTAGGAACAAATCTGGCACCGGTAAAAGGTGGGCCGAAGGCGGCCCGGGGCCGTCCGATTTACATAAGCCATTTTGGCAACATTTTTGCTACTCTAAGCACAAAAGAACTAAAGTTCTATTTGTGAACAAGACTAGTGGCGAGTTAAATTGCCATCACAAATCACTCCCACGATTATATATAGAGGCACTGAACTCTGGTCTGTCTCCTTTCTGCGCTCGTTTTCCTGGCCAGTTATTCGGACCTTTTGCGCGCGCACTTTGGATGGTCGCAACTCACTGTGGTCTTGCCCTGTCAGATTTTTTCACGGATTAACCTGGATATTGTGCTTGCTTTGGGTTGGAATGCCTCCCTCTGCGAGTGCATGTTAGGCCTCGCCCAGTCTGTGCCGACGTCCTTCGATCCTTGGGGGTTTTTCTCGGTGTCAGGTACATTTAACGTCCCTACTAATCGCAAGCTTGACTTACCAATTCATACAGTACCTGGAATCATAGCTCCTGCCCCAACTCACACACACATCCTCGTACGTCTACAAGCCCCCTATTTATTGTAACATCAACTTACCAATTCATGTCAGAGCTCCTTCATACCCGCACATGTATCCCTAAATTATGAGCTTACATTTTTTAAATCTCAGATGTGAGTCATACTCCTGAGATTCATCTTGTTGGGAACGGCAGAGAACTGTTAGAGACTCTGCTGGTATCTCCGAACAGTGTACACAATATTTTTTCTCTCTCATCTCCATTATTTTTTGGAAATGGTGCGTAGTCATGGCATTCCAGCACGCGATATTGTTTCTTTGCGCGAATTTACGAGCTTTCTTGACCCATATCTTCACCAGTACTCGTAGCTATTCCGCGATTCATCGTGACCACTCATCTCTTTCTGGGTGCAGCGATATAACTTCGTAGCTGTCACCATAAAATGTGCTTGATCAAACCAAAATATTACCCTCACCACGTCCGCTTTCTACCCCAGTTCATTTCCTGTGAATGAGAGGGAAAAAACCGATTACTTGCAGCTGTAGCCAAAAATAACTAACAGATTAATGCGGATGCAGGGAGTCGAACCCCGGAGCTGCTTAAGCTTAGATGGGCCATGTCTCATAGAGGGTAGTGGTGCACCGCGCACTACATCCACTTCTTACCTCAGTCCATTTGTTGTGTGAGTGTGAGTGAGAGTGAGTCAAAAAAATGGATTTGAACTGTAGCCAACAAAAGATATCATCAACAAAGCACATGCAGACGTGGGGAGTCGAACCCCAGAACTGCTTCACCAAATTCCACGACAGTAAAACTGCAATCGAGAGCAGCGATACACCATACACCACATCTGCTTTCCAGGCTCCATTCCTACTCTGTGTGAGTGAGACTAAAAAATGGATTTGAGTGACCAAAAAGCATGAATAGCCTGAAGAATGCGGAGGTGGGAAGTCGAACCCCGGCAGCTGCTTTACTCCTCTAGAAAGTTGTCGCAATAAAGGCAGCAGTACTCCGTGCACATCCACTTCTTGGACTTGTTCCTGCTTTGCGTGAGTGAGGGGAGAAAAAAATTAGAGTTGCGAGTGACCAAAAATAATTAAAGCTGAAGCAGATGCAGACGCGGGGATTCGAACCCCAGAGCTGCTTAAGCTCGATGGACTTCGTAATAGAGAGCAGCAGTGCACTGTACACCACATCCGCTTTCCAGGCTCTATTCCTACTCTGTGTGAGTGAGACTAAAAAATGGATTTGAGTGACCAAAAAGCATGGATAGCCTGAAGAATGCGGAGGTGGGGAGTCGAACCCTGGCAGCTGCTTCATATGTTGCAATAGCAGTTATCGTATCAAAGGCGGCAGTGCACCGTGCACTACATCCGCTTCCGGACCTTGTTCCTGCTTTGCGTGAGTGAGGGGGGAAAAAAGTTAGAGCTGCGAGTGACCAAAAATAATCAAAGCTGAAACAGATGCGGACGCGGGGAGTCGAACCCCGGAGCTGCTTAAGCTCGATGGACTTCGTAATAGAGAGCAGCAGTGCACTGTACACCACATCCGCTTCCCAGGCTCCATTCCTACTCTGTGTTAGTGAGACTAAAAAATGGATTTGAGTGACCAAAAAGCATGGATAGCCTGAAGAATGCGGAGGTGGGGAGTCGAACCCCGGCAGCTGCTTTACTCCTCTAGAAAGTTGTCGCAATAAAGGCAGCAGTACTCCGTGCACATCCACTTCTTGGACTTGTTCCTGCTTTGCGTGAGTGAGGGGGGGAAAAAATTAGAGCTACGAGTGACCAAAAATAATCAAAGCTGAAACAGATGCGGACGTGGGGAGTCGAACCCCGGGAGCTGCTTACGTTTCTAGTCCATGTCTCAATAAATTCAAGACAGCTGTGCACCGTGCACCACATCCGCTTTCTAGCCCGGTTCATTACCAGTGTGAATGAGAAGAAAAAACCAGATTACTTAGAACTGTGCCAAAAAAGAATGACAAGAGACTAGCATATGCGGACGTGGGGAGTCGAACCCCGGGAGCTGCTTACGTTCTTAGATGCAATACTAATCAAGGCAGCAGTGCACCGTGCGCACCACGTCTGCTTCCTATGCCAGTTCACTTCTTCCAACAGGTGAGAGCAAAAAGAAAAAGAAAAACTGGTTTGAACTGCGAGAGACAGAAAAAGATTCAACCATAAACAATATATGCAGACGCGGGGAGTCGAACCCCCTATTGCTGCACAACTTTTCTTTGAAGACTTGAATAGAGAGCAGCAGTGCACCGTGCACCAGATCCACTTGTTACCATTCTCCTGAAATTTTGTAAGTGAGACAAAAAATGGAGAGAAACAAAAAAAAAAAACATCTGAAGAAACCGATGTACGCGGACACGGGGAGTCGAACCCAAGCAGCTGCTTCATATGTTGCGAAAGCGGCCATCATATCAAAGGCGGCGGTGCACCGTGCACTACGTCCGCTTCCTGACCTTGTTCCTTCCTTCGGCGAGTGAGAGCGAGACCAAAAAAAAAGTTTAGTGACTAAAAAAAAACCAAAGCCGAAACAAATGCGGACGCGGGGAGTCGAACCCCGGGAGCTGCTTACACTATAGCCTCAATAAAGGCGGCGGTGCACCGTGCACCTCATCCGCTTTCTACCCTCCTCCTGAAATTCTATAAGTGAGGTGAAAATTGGCTTCGATGTAAGAAAGAAAAACCAAAAAATTGTCGCGATTCTACAAGAAGGCGGACGCGGGGAGTCGAACCCCGGCAGCTGCTACAACATGCGAGGCACGAGCACCAAAACTGTTGTAGCGTCTGTCTACGAGAGACTAAGCAGCTGCTTTACTCTTCTAGAAAGTTGTCGCAATAAAGGCAGCAGCACTCCGTGCACATCCGCTTCTTGGACTTGTTCCTGCTTTGCGTGAGTGAGGGGGGAAAAATTAGAGACGAGTGACCAAAAATAATTAAAGCTGAAGTGGATGCGGACGCGGGGAGTCGAACCCGGGAGCTGCTTACATTCCATGGACGTGCAAATCAAGACAGCGGTGCACCGTGCACCACATCCGCTTTTTACCTTCCTCCTGAAACTCTATAAGTGAGACTGAAAAAATGGAGAAATGGAGAAAGACAAAAAAAAAAAAGGCCGTACTAAAGCGTATGCGGACGCAGGGAGTCGAACCCCGGCAGCTGCTTACACTTTACATCTTACTACCTCAATCAAGGCAGCGGTGCGCCATGCACCACGTCCGCTTTCTACCCTCTCCTGAAACTCTATAAGTGAGACCAAAAAATGGAGAAAGACAAAAAAAAAAACGTCTGAAGAAAACCGATGTACGCGGACGCAGGGAGTCGAACCCCGACAGCTGCTTTACTATTTGATTCTCCTAATAATGAAGGCAGCTGTGGACCATGCACCACATCCACTTCTTACACCTTGAGGGATAATAGGTTGGGTGGGCCTTTTTTGTTGAGCTTTGAATAGGGAGTAGTGCGGTAAGACACGGGAATTAGAGCATACACACGCGGATAAATTGAAAGTACACACGGAAATGGAACAAGCCTGAGAGCCCCGCATTTCTTCCGCACGCGGGGGTGAGCGGGAGTCTAAATGCAATGGGATCCCACGACGCGGGGTCAGTCGGGAAGAATCGAGATGATGGTGGCAGAACAAGAACCAGAAGACCCGTCCCTTATGCCGTAAACTTGTACTTTATGTTTGTCGTCTGCCTCTAGCCTTATCCTCAACCACTACTTGCTCCTCGTACTAAGCCCTACGACAAAACCCAAAATGCGGTTCCGGACGCTCGAAATCCGGTGGCACGACTCCAAGCCGATCTCGTCGTGCGACTTCCAGCCTGTGCCCTTCAAAAAGGCGCGCCCACCTCCAGGGAGCGCGCCCAGCGCCTTTGCGGCACAGGCGTATAGGCTTGCGACGGCGGGGGAGGACAACCATGTGCGCGTGTGGATGGTGTATCCGAATATCCGGCCGCTCGATCTTGAGGGAGGAGGAGGAGGAGAGGGTGTGGCGCCACGACCGGCGCGCGTAGAGTATCTGGCGACGCTGAGCCGGCACTCTGCGGCGGTGAATGTGGTGCGGTTCTCGCCGAATGGTGCGCGTCGAGTCTCTTCTTTCTTTCGATAGAATGAAGTAGTGACGCCACCGTGCAGGCGACCTCATCGCGTCTGCGGGTGACGACGGGATGGTCATCATCTGGGCGCCGTCCGCCACACCGCAGACCAGGTTCGTCTCTCTTTTTCGTTCACCAATAAGGTTCGTGTACTAACACCTAACACTTTCGCCACAGCACGTACGGCTCGGACCTCTCCCCGGACGACCTGCAGCATGAGAAAGAATACTGGAAGCCGCGCACGACGTTCCGGTGCACGACGATGCAGGTGTACGATCTCGCGTGGAGCCCGACGGGCGAGTTTCTGCTCGCGGGGAGCACGGATAATTGCGCAAGGGTGTTTGCGAGCGTGGATGGTGCGTCGCGTTTCTTTGCCTTTCTTTCTTTTCTCGAGCGCGCCCGCCCGCCGTTGGCGTCGATTGTGCGAGCGCGTCGCTCCTGTTACTTTGCTGTCCGCGTTCCCTCGCGCGCGCCCTCTTCTTTCTGTTCTTTGTTATCCTCGACTGGCGCTTGAGCGCGTCCCCCTTCCCTATTCCCTCTAGCCCTCATCGCGTTCTGTTCGCGTCCCTCTTTCCCTCCCCTCCGCCTCGTCCTCCCTCTTTCCCTTTCTCCGCTTTCCTCTCCGTGTCCTATATCCATTTTCTCGCCAGCCTCTGGATGTGCGCGCTATCCCCACCTCCCCCGTTCTCCCCTTCTCTCCCTCCCTCCTTCTCTTCCCTTCTCCCCTTCTTCCTATCACCTCTTCCCCATCCTCCCTTCACCTCTTCTCCCCTCCTCCCCCCTTCAAAATAACTAGAAAACGAAAAGAATACTGAGACTAAAAACACCCAACAGGGAAATGCCTCCACGAAATCGCCGAGCACGCGCACTACGTGCAGGGCGTCGCGTGGGACCCGCTCGGGGAGTACATCGCGACCCAATCGTCCGACAGGAGTATGCATGTGTATAGGGTGGGGGTGGGGAGTGGGGGGAAGGTGAGCTTTTACGTTTTTGGGTTGTGAGTTTGGAGTTTGGGCGGAGGGGGAGGAAAGCAAAACTGCGCGCGTGCCGTCGTCCACGAACGCGTTTCGCGCGAGCGCACGTTGTCTCCCCGCGGCAGTTTCTTTTCGTTTCCGTCTCATTGGCGCCCTTTTCCTCCTCGTTTTTTTTGCTTGCGTTGTTTCTCGGGGGTGTAGCGCCATCCGCCCTCTCGCCGCCCTCCTGGACGCTGTGGGGTCGGGTCGGACCCACTGGCGGGACCCTCGATTTCTTGTTTTCTTGGGCTGCGCGTGCGAGGCTCCTTGCTTCCCACACGTATCGGCGCGTATTCTATCTGCTATCGAGCGCGTTCTATTCCTATTCCCTTTTTTGTTTCATTACCTTTCTTTCCTTTCTTATTTCCCCTTTCACTCCGTCTTGTCTGGTCTGATTCTGCTTCGCGGTTCTGTTTCTGTTTTCACTTCGTCTTGTTCTGTTTCTGTTTTGCGGTTCTCTGTCGTTCGTCTCCCGAACTATCTTCGTCTTTGGGGCGCGGGTTGGGACCCTTGGGACTGGACGACCTGTGTACGTGTATACGCAGTCGCCCCTTCGTGGACGCTGTCTGTCTTTTGTCTCGTTCTTTTTCCACTCACGCGCTCTGGGTCTGGGTCCTTTTTCCTCTCGCTTTCCTGCGTGTTCGAACGCAGACCTTGTTGTTTCGCGTTTTTTAGCCGACGGTATCCTGCTGCGTGTCGCTCTGGTCTGATCACCGGTCTCGCCTCGCCTTGCGTTCCGCGTCTCCTTCGCGGTCTGTTCGTCCATTCCGTGGGTGGGTGTGGACGTGGTTGTGGTGTTCGTGGGGCGTCCAGAATTCTCGCACTGCCGTTGTCGACGCGGGGCGCGGGGAGGAGGCAGTGCGTTTGCACGGTGGATCCGGTTTTTTTTTTCGTTGTTATGGTTCCTTCTTGTTCTATGACGGACGGACGGCAGTTGTAAACGCGGACGCGGGGTCGGACGTGTGCCGTGTGGTGCTTCGATGTTTTTTTATTTATTTTTTATTTCTCTCCCTCTTACTTTTACTCTTCCCCGTTGCCCGCGTCCTGTACTGCGCAGCGAGCGAGCGTGCTCCGTCTTTGAAATCTGCTTCTCTTTCACTCTTTCTTTCCTTCTCGTTTCCTTTCCTTTCCTTCCCCCCTCCTCCAAACTAATAATCAATATGTACTCACCTCCTTCCTCTTCCTCCCCGCAGGGAACCTTCGAAGCCCATGCCATCGGGCGCAACACGCGCTTTCCCCACTCCCACCGCGACTCCCACTCCTCCCAATCCCACCAACCTCACTCCCACCGCGACTCGTTCTCGCACCAAAACACGCATGGAAGCGGAACCGGAAGCGGGAGGGACGGAGGGAGAGACCGAGCACACAGCCGCACGCCGAGCGTGCACCGCGAGGAGCTCCTCACGCCGAGTTCGTTGCATCTGAACCTCAGCGGGGTAAGCGGGGTGAGCGGGAGTGGGGTGAGCACGCCTGCATTGCCCACGCCTTCGCTGCCTACGGGTACGTTGCGCCGTCCCTCCTTGCTGGCGTAAATTCAATGCTAAATACGAATGCGGATACAGGCACGAGCACGAGCACGACAGGCGCGAGCGCAGGCACAAGCGCGGGCACGACGCAAGAATGGCCCCGCCCGCGGACCTTCCGCAGCGCGTCGATCGAGAGCGACCGCGCGCAGGGTGGGGAGCGCGACTTTGCGGAGCCGGAGACGCCGTTTGCGGGGCCGGGGACGCCCGCGTCGATGATGGCTGTGGGTGGTGGGGGTGCAAGTGGGAGTAATACAAACAACAGCGCGATGTTCCCGCCGCCGCCTGCGGGCCGTCGAGTCGGCGGTCGTCGTTTAGCGGGAGCAATGCGCCGAGTTCGCCGAGTGGTGAGTTTTTTTCTTTGCGTTTTTTAAAAAGAAGGAATGATGGGGCTGGCGGTGTTTCTCCTTGGTTCTCGCCGACGTGCGCACCTCGTTCTTCCCGATACCCCTGCGACGCCTGTCCACAATTTCGTCTGACCTTCCTCCCCTCATCCGTCCCTCGCACGTCCCCACCTTATTGCCCTCCACTCTTTCGTGCTACCAATTCGCCGTAAACGGCACTAGCCCACCTTTCCCTTCCTCTTCCCTCATCTTCTTGCTCTCTGCTGCTTTGCCCAATCCTTCCTCTCCCTGCTTCCCTCGTACTACTCAGCTTCCATCCTCCCAACAACCCGCTAACGCACCCCCACCCCTTCTGTGGTTCCCCTCCACTCTATTATACCAATTACCCTCTACCCACTTCGCTCCTGCCCCACTTTTATGTCCCTCCTCTCGTTATCCCTCCCAAAACTTGCTAACGTTGCCCTCCCAGGCTTCTCTGCCGTCTCAGGCTTCTCGCGCGCCTACGGCCGCAGTCCCTCCCCCATGCCCGCCCTCCCCGCGATCCGCACCCCGCCCTCCGCCAGCGCCGGCTGGGCCGGGCGCTACGAGGAGCGGACGCGCAGCCGAGATCGCTACGACGAGCGCAGCCGCAGCAACTCGAACGCCACGTCCCGCTACGCCGACGAGCGCAGCGGCACGGGTCGGTACGCGGACGAACGCGGGCGATACGGGTACGACGAGCGGCGGCACACGGACGGCGCGCGGCTCTACGGCGACGAGAGCTTCAGCAATTTTTTCCGGCGTTTGGCGTTTAGCCCTGATGGGGCGCTGTTGTTGACGCCCGCGGGGACGTTTGAGGACCCGAGTGCGAGTGTGGTGGGTGGGAGGGCGCGGGCGCGGGTGCGCTGGGGGTGGTGGAGGAGGGGAAACCCGTCGCTAGCAGCAGCAAGGATGCGAGCGCGAGCGCGACGCCGGCGGACGACACGCCGTCGCGCGGGCGGAAAGCGCGCCCGGTTATCTCTACGGGCGCCGCGCTCGTGTCCACCTCGCTCGGCATGGGCTCCTCGTCGTCCACCACGGCGGCACAAACCGCAGCGGGTGACGCCAACCCCAACTCGTCGGTGTACATCTACTCGCGCGCGAACTTTGCGCGGCCGCCTGTGGCGCAGCTGCCGGGGCACAAGAAGGCGAGCGTCGCGGTGCGGTTTAGTCCGGTGCTCTTTGAGCTGCGGCCGAATGTGCAGGGTGGCGGTGGGGCGGCAC